GATATGAAGACAGTGTGTTTGGACAGACAGCACAGGGACAGAGAAACAGTACAAGAGTGGACATTAGTGAGAAGCTTCTTGTTGACTAGAAGATGAAGATGACAGTGAATTCAAACCTTTGTCTCTTCATTTTGTTAGTTACAAAGAGATGAGATGGATTTGAAAATTAACCAGTTATTGATCAGGAGAAGATTCTGTTTCAGTGGAGAAACAGAACCACAGCCTGAGAGAACATGTGTCAGTGTGTGGTTTAAGATGATATTATGGTTTTCTACATACTGCAGTCTGAGGGTCTGGGTTCATGACTGAAGTCTGGAGGTAAACTTCTGGACCGGTCAGTCCTCACAGACAGACAGCTGGGTCCTGGGGACTCTGGTCTCTGTCTCTGGTTGTGATCTCTAAAAACACAAACATGTTTATATAATATACTAAATAAAAGAAAATATATAAATATAATAAAATACATTTATCATTGCATTAATTTAATCTAATCTAAATTTTCTTAATTCTAGATTTACCAATATTACATCTTCGAGTTCATTACAATCTGGTAGTTTGTGTTGTCTTTAACTTGCTGTTTTTGACTGCAAACATTTTTTGTAATTTAATTTTTTTCTGGTATTTTCTTTAAAAATGTAACATGAGGCAGTGTAGAAAAAAAGTCTCCTACCGTGTGTCTGGTTGTCTGGGTTCATCACTGAAGTCTGGAAAGAACTGTATGGACCAGTCAGTCTTCACAGACAGACAGCTGGGTTCTGGAGACTCTGACTTGTGTTCTTTCTCCATAAATTCACTCATTTTCTGGACTTCAGTCTCCCCAAGTAAGTTCTAAAAAACAATATAAATAAATAAATAAATAACAAATTAATAAACATATATAAAGGAATATATATTATAATGTATATTCTCTCTCACACACATATGTATATATATATATATATTCTCTCTCTCTCTATATATATATATATATTTCTTTTCCTTTTGGCTTGTCCATTTTTCATGGGTTGCCACAGCGTATCATTGTTTTCCATTTCCAGTTAAGTTAAGGACTCGAACGTTTCAGGTTCGAGTCCACCAGCTGCAAAGTTGCCACTAATGTGCACTGACCATGGCACGCTGCCCACTATTCACTTTGGTGATGGGTTAAAATAGAGGTCACATTTCGCTGTGTGCAGTGGTGTGCTGTGTCACAATGACAAGTTCACTTTCCGTCCTTCCAAATATATATGTATCGATACGAAATCGAAACTCATTAAAACGTCGTTTTCAGTTGTAAAATACACACATTGTAGTTTAATGTGCGGTTGTTCCGATGGCTTTAGTTCATATCCAGTTCTTTTAAAATACATTTTTATCATGATAAAATGTTCTTTTTAGTAATATTTTATCGGAAGACTCACCTTCGTTCTGTACCTTTTGCTGTGGTTTTCAATGACGTCGGAAACGTCATATGGGAGTGGCGGGAAGCTCGGGGAGGAGGAGTTGAGTTGAAAATCTAGACGTCTTTTTTTATCTGTCACTGAATGTTATTTTTGTTTCTGTTTTACACGAGAATTTTTTTCAACATTTGCTGTTCTCTCCAGACTCCTGGAAAAAACTGTTATTGTTTCTGGGTAAATAAAGGTAAATTCTGATTGATTAGCGCCAACCTTTAACTTTCAGTGGAACTGTTGAACCATTCTGACAGGATGAGGAGTTACAGGACAGTAAAGGTTTGTCTCCAACTTAACTGATTTGAACAGCAACAAAATCTACACGTTAGGAATAAAACCACAGGAAACAAATGTTTAGATGTTTCTAGAACAACACTCTAATTAGGTCTGTCAAAAATATTTAACCACAATTAATCACAGTTTATCTTTTCCTAATGTACCTCCATATTGTTCCAATTCTTAATCCTCTTATAAACATGGTTGTCAACAAATATCTTTGTTTTAAACACACGTCTGTTTATTGTTGTCAACAATCAAAACAAGGACACACATAATCTAGAATATTCTCCAGAATAACCTCACAGGGACTGATACAACAATACTGCAGCATGTTGGAGAACAGCAGGATCATTTCCCATGATGCTTTGTGGTTTGATTGAACTTTGCACTATGAGTGAATACAGTAGCAGTGTTCACTTTCTCTAAGTTGTTTTGTTGGAGGTTACGTAAAAATAAAGCTGTAGAGTCTGGAATAACAGAGCACTGCTGTCAAACACAGAAGGTTTGGTCAAAGAAAATAGTTGTGTTTAAAGTCATTTATTGTTAAATCACTGTCTTAACGTTGACCAGACCTGCTATTAACATTTGTTCACACAGGACTGTGTATAAAATAAAGAGAAAATAAGCTGTTTTAACAAATGAACAACCACTGAGCACAGCTGAACAAACGTCAGTGATAATAATAATTATAATAATGAATAACAACAACAGTTACAGACATTTAGGTTTGTAAAGTGGAAATAATTTTAAAAAGATTCAGTTTCAACATTTTGACACCACAAGACCAGGCCAGATCCTCCAGTTTACAGTCTGGACTCTGGAGAAATCCACACAGATCCTTCATCCCTGTATCCTGCAGCTTGTTCCCCCCTAACGCCAGTTTCCTCAGGTGGGAGGGGACTGAGACCAGAGAAGAACAGCTGATCTCTGACAAACTACAGCTGCTCAACCTGAATAAAGAAGAAAAATCAAAGTGCAATACCCAAGTTTCCCCAACAGATGGAATAAAAATGATAAAAGCATATTAGCCTTTATGCATGACTTTTACATGTCAGTTATTCCTGTTCAATTTTAGACAGTTGTGGCCCACGAGTCCAAAAGTTTTCCCACGCCTGCCCTATACCCTGAATTTTTTATAAAAAACAAATACATAAATAAAAGAAAGGTTGTTGTTCCTGGTGGTGAACCTGGCTCTGACGTGTTAGTTTAAAGAAAAAATTCTCATTTGTATATTATTTAGCAGTGTTGCTATTTGACTAGACAAATAAAACTATTCCAAAGTATAAATTAGGCTGTTTCATTCTATTAGAAACTAGAACCTTTTCTGAAAATGGTTGTCTACTTCAGAAATGCGTTGCATTTTTTTAAAGAAAGAAATGTTTAAATATTGTTTCCCCTTCTGCAGAGGCTTATCGGTTAAAAGTCAATCACGATAAAAAAAAGCGACAATCAACAATATTGAACATGTTCAATATGTCGTCCTCTGAGCATGCCATAACATTTTATTTTATTGTTCTCTTGGTTTTAAATGTTCAAACTGATAATTATTTTTTGCAAATATGACCTCATTTGGAATTTAATGCCTGCAACACGTTCCAAAAAAGCTGGGACAGGTGGCAATAAAGACTGAGAAAGTTGAGGAATGCTCATCAAACACCTATTTGGGAACAGGTGGGTGCCATGACTGGGTATAAAAGGAGCTTCCCTGAAATGCTCAGTCGTTCACAAGCAAGAATGGAGCGAGGTTCACCACTTTGTGAACAACTGTGTGAGCAAATAGTCAAACAGTTTAAGAACAACGTTTCTCAATGTACAATTGCAAGGAATTTAGGGAATTCATCATCTACGGTCCATAATATAATCAAAAGGTTCAGAGAATCTGGAGAAATCACTGCATGTAAGCGGCAAGGCCGAAAACCAACATTGAATGGCCGTGACCTTCGATCCCTCAGGCGGCACTGCATCAAAAACCGACATCAAAGTGTAAAGGATATCAGCACATGGGCTCAGGAACACTTCAGAAAACCACTGTCAGTAGATACAGTTGGTCGCTACATCTGAAAGTGCAAGTTAAAACTACGCAAATATAAAGCCATTTATCAACAACACCCAGAAATGCCGCCAGCTTCTCTGCACCTGAGCTCATCTAAGATGGACTGATGCAAAGTGGAAAAGTGTTCTGTGGTCTGACGAGTCCACATTTCAAATTGTTTTTGGAAATTTGATCGTCCATCCTCCCCCTCCCTCCATGCCATGCAGTTTGGTTTCAGATCCAACCATTCCTCTCAAATGGCTACATGCCTCTTTATTGAGAAAATAAACTCTTTTGTCGATAAGGGTGGAGTTGTAGGGGTGGTGTTTGTGGACCTCGGGAAAGCATTTGATACAGTAAATCACTCTGTTCTTCTTACCAAGCTTTTAAAATTTAACTTCTCTCACAACGCCGTAAGTTGGATTGAATCATATTTGCAGAATCAAACACAATCTGTATCAGTTAACAACTGCAGATCTGACTCTCTTAGGTCAACCTCCGGAGTCCATCAGGGGTCAGTATTAGGCCCCCTTTTATTTAGTCTTTATAGTAATGATTTGCCCACTGTTTGTTCTGAAGCTGAACGCTTAATGTATGCAGATGACACGGTTTTCTTTGTACGGGTCGCACCAAAGAAACTGTAGCTGCTAAACTCAGTAAAACAATGTCCTGTGTCACAACTTGGTTGCAGGAGTGCTGTCTACAGCTAAACGTTTCTAAAACTGTAGGCATGTATTTCACTAAAATAAATAGAGTATCACCTGACCCTGATATACATGTTAATGGAGAAGAAACACAAATTGTCAGCCAATATAAATATCTTGGGCTAATAATAGATGCACAGATTTCCTTTAAAGCCCATATTGATGAACTGCGTAAAAAAATCAAGTCAAATCTCACAATTGTTTGTGTAATTCGAAATAAAATGCCAACTGAAGCTGCAAAAATGTACTTGCATTCGATGATTCTCAGTCACAGTTCAACTATTGCCTAACCAGTTGGTCCCAGGCTGGTCAAAGTGCAAAAGAACCATTGGAAGTCTTGTACAGACAAGCAATTAAAGTTCTGGATACAAAAATCTAGGCACTATCATCACTGTGAATTAAAAAAATACATTATACAATTTACATTTTAAACTGGGACAGTCTTCACACATTTGCAGACTTAAAATTGATTTATAAAGTACTGCATACTTTGGCTCCAGATCCTCTGGCAGAGCTCATCAACCAAAGAAAAAGCTCTGAGCGGGTCACTCGAGGCTCTGTCAGAGGTGACTGTTACATTCCTCTGTGCAGGAGCACTTTTAGTCAGTCGGCCTCGTCAGTAACTCTGCGTGGAACTCTGTACCTGAGGAGGTTAAGCTTCGTACAACATATAAGGTTCCAGTGGACTCACCACCTGCAGGAAGGTTTAGGGGGGTTGGTACGGTGCAATGTGATTTGGGTGGCGACTACTGCCCCCGCGACCCGGTAATGGATAACATGTAAGGCCTTTACAAAAAATTGAAAATGTGGCTTATCAACACCTACAGCTGCCAACACTAAAAGATGACTAAAAGAAGAGCCTGTTGTGATGTTTTAATGTTATGATCATGTGTTATGTTGTGATGTCGTATTCTTTCTTAATTGTATAGTAAGTGTTTGTATATGTATTATATTGTATATGTATTGTGTGCTCTCTGCCTTTTTACATCATGGCCAGGGGACTACAGATGAAAACTAGCCTTCTGGCTAAATCTGGCTTTTTTTTTAATCATGCGCTTTATGAAATTGCACTGTCCCCTTTTAAATAAACTAATAATAATAATAATAAAAGCTTCAACACTTACGTGTCCTCAGTTCCCAAAACTTTATTGAGTGTTGTTGAAAGGAAAGGTGATAAAGGTGGTAAACATGCCCCGTCCCAACTTTTTTGGAACGTGTTACAGGCATCAAATTCCAAATGAGCTAATATTTGTAAAAAAATAAGGTAGTTTACCAGTTTGAACATTAAATATTTTGTCTTTGTAGTGTGTTCAATTGAATATAGGTTAAAAAAGAATTTGCAAATCATCGGTTTTCTTTGTACGGGTCGCACCAAAGAAACTGTAGCTGCTAAACTCAGTAAAACAATGTCCTGTGTCACAACTTGGTTGCAGGAGTGCTGTCTACAGCTAAACGTTTCTAAAACTGTAGGCATGTATTTCACTAAAATAAATAGAGTATCACCTGACCCTGATATACATGTTAATGGAGAAGAAACACAAATTGTCAGCCAATATAAATATCTTGGGCTAATAATAGATGCACAGATTTCCTTTAAAGCCCATATTGATGAACTGCGTAAAAAAATCAAGTCAAATCTCACAATTGTTTGTGTAATTCGAAATAAAATGCCAACTGAAGCTGCAAAAATGTACTTGCATTCGATGATTCTCAGTCACAGTTCAACTATTGCCTAACCAGTTGGTCCCAGGCTGGTCAAAGTGCAAAAGAACCATTGGAAGTCTTGTACAGACAAGCAATTAAAGTTTTGGATACAAAATTCTCGGCACTATCATCACTGTGAAATTTAAAAAAAGAAATACAGCATTTTACACTGGGACAGTCTTCACACATTTGCAGACTTAAAATTGATTTATAAAGTACTGCATACTTTGGCTCCAGATCCTCTGGCAGAGCTCATCAACCAAAGAAAAAGCTCTGAGCGGGTCACTCGAGGCTCTGTCAGAGGTGACTGTTACATTCCTCTGTGCAGGAGCACTTTTAGTCAGTCGGCCTCGTCAGTAACTCTGCGTGGAACTCTGTACCTGAGGAGGTTAAGCTTCTTACAACATATAAGGTTCCAGTGGACTCACCACCTGCAGGAAGGTTTAGGGGGGTTGGTACGGTGCAATGTGATTTGGGTGGCGACTACTGCCCCCGCGACCCGGTAATGGATAACATGTAAGGCCTTTACAAAAAATTGAAAATGTGGCTTATCAACACCTACAGCTGCCAACACTAAAAGATGACTAAAAGAAGAGCCTGTTGTGATGTTTTAATGTTATGATCATGTGTTATGTTGTGATGTCGTATTCTTTCTTAATTGTATAGTAAGTGTTTGTATATGTATTATATTGTATATGTATTGTGTGCTCTCTGCCTTTTTACATCATGGCCAGGGGACTACAGATGAAAACTAGCCTTCTGGCTAAATCTGGCTTTTTTTTTAATCATGCGCTTGCTGAAATTGCACTGTCCCCTTTTAAATAAACTAATAATAATAATAATAATAATAAAAGCTTCAACACTTACGTGTCCTCAGTTCCCAAAACTTTATTGAGTGTTGTTGAAAGGAAAGGTGATAAAGGTGGTAAACATGCCCCGTCCCAACTTTTTTGGAACGTGTTACAGGCATCAAATTCCAAATGAGCTAATATTTGTAAAAAAATAAGGTAGTTTACCAGTTTGAACATTAAATATTTTGTCTTTGTAGTGTGTTCAATTGAATATAGGTTAAAAAAGAATTTGCAAATCATCGTATTCTGTTTT